AGATTACGGGATATTGTTTCTCTTGCAGCCTTGGACGCGGCTTTGGGATTGAATTTTAGGTAAAAATGTCCATATTGGGCCAACAGTTATACTAACCATAGCATAAGCTCCCAAACTGAATTCAGCTTCAAGATATGTCTGTCTTCCTACTGACAACAGAAATAGCAGCTTATGCACAGACTGATAAGGTTGTGTTATTAGAAGGAATAGTCATCTGCTCATTCATCGTGTATCACGGAAATAAGATGTGCACTTTTTTCTTCCTTTGTGTTTTAATCGCCAGTCCTTCACAGAAAAGATATCTCTTTCATTTGTACACAGCCCACGGCAATAGGACCTTGTCTGTGAATCTTAATTAATGTGCTATGCAGAAAATGTTTTCATTTTTGATGATGCACTAGAGATTTGAATCTAGAGGAAAAAAAGCTGTTTAGAGAAGTAGCATAGACAAGCAGAGTTCTCCTTTCAGAGCCGTTCTCAAGGCATGAAGAAAGATTAGGCTGCTCTGAAGTGCTGAGCAGGAGGACAACCGCATATTCGCCACGGGCTTTATCCTGTTATGAAAGAAACACCATTTATTTCAGCGGAACCAAATACATAGTAAGGTACTACCCAGCAACACTGAAAGCTGTCTGCTACTCTTTTTGGTAGAGCTGGAATTCACAGACCTGTATCTCAATGTAGTCATAGAGTCTTTCTCGCAAAAGGGGAGTCTTGCTCCTTGTCTGGATTGCTTAATGATTCTGATATCAGAGCCCTGTCATGAGGTTTTGAGGATCTTGTTCCCAAAGAGTCAAACTACTTTCCTTCTGAGCATGGCTTTTGGGGCAAAAAGTCTCTGGATTTCTATTTTAGGCAAAAATAAATTGACCAAGCTTTAATCACATAGTTTCAAGTTGCTCTTATATGACAGCATTTTGATCGTGGTCTTAGAAGTGCTCTACTAAAGTGCTCCCAGGAAATTGCAGGAAGGATGCAGACACTGGTGCAATATTCTTTTTTTATTTAAGGTTATCAACATTTTAAAATTCCAAACACTATTCAGATAGCCTTTTTGCAGTGCTTATCTAGTTTTGGTTTTTGGAACGTACCATTACCTAGGAGCACATATTGGAAAAGAAATCCTTTCACCCTATTTCATTTCTTTTCTACTTCCCATGACTCCAAAACAGGAGAATATGAGGCTCTTATGACCGTTATGAACCCTCATAGACTGATGCTATTGACATCTCTCAATCAGTTTCTGTTTCAGACTGATTGTGTGTTTCTAAGGGTGCTCTATCTTCATTTTTTCAGTGGGAAATAGCAGCAAGAAGCCAATATACATAAAAGCCCAACTGATCGCAGCAACAACAGGTTAAATTGTCTTGATGATATGATATGCAACAGCCGGTGCACTGCTGTCCTCTAGAAACCACATTTCCCATAGATATCTGCTGCTTGCTGGCTCAGGCACACGTACCACTTCAGAGGTACTTGGGCTCAAAACTTTTGCCTGAGAAGCATTAAAATTTCCAGCTGAACCATTTCCTTCCCTGCTGACCTGTTTTTTTTTGGAGGAAAGCATACCTACAGTCTGATCCCAAAGGACAAAATGGTGAGGGGAAATGAAAATATTGTAACTCAGACCTGTTTTTTTCTTTTTTCTGAGATGAATACCTGCTCCCTTCAGTTCCTCCAGTGGCAGAAACTGCCATGAAAGTTCTCTTGTACCAGTACCCACGCATTTGGCTGTAGCACTGTGAAAACATTTCCATGTCTTTATTCAGCTATCTATACATTCAGATATTTTAAAACGTTAGTGTTCACTTTGGATTATATTATCAATAAACCCATCTCTTCCTCCAATTTCATATTTTCATGTTTAAAAAATGTTTTCCTTTATTTATCATTAAATTCAACTCCCAGTAAGAGTCTGCATAAGGGAATAAAACAAGTCTTCAGAGCCTTCTACAATTAGCATACCCTCATCATGCTCCAGTAATTATCTCCCCTGAGACTTCAGCTGGGATGCCACACTGCTCTCATCACTACAGCGCTCCCACGGGGGAAATTAAGAGGCAAAACACCCAGATTACTCAGACGCCACGTTCACCGTGCGCACACCATTGATCTCCCAGTCTCTCTGCATTTGACTCCAGCCAACAAATCGCTCACCAGTGACCAAAACCAGCACAGCTGCGTTTGTTCCAGCCCAATGGGGGCAGGTCAAAATGGATTAGCATGAAACTCGTTATTTATTTACAGGGAAGAAAAATTCTGTAGTGACTCAGTATTGCTCACAGGATACGGGCACTAGGCCTCTTAGGAGGCATCAGGGAGAAGAGTGTTTGGGTGTGTTAAGGGTTTTGTGCACATGGTGCTTTTGTTCCTTTTTCTTCTCTCCTTTGTTGCCTCCTCCACAATTTACCCAAGATAAGTCAATCAACGTTCTCTTCATTCTCCGTTTAACGCTCCTTCTCTATCTGCAGGACTCCTTTGGCACATAATCCTTCTAGTCCCAGGAGATGCTTGACTCCTTTCCCAGGTCCCTAACACCCCTTTTATCTTCAGGTGCCATAAAGAAGGCTGTAGACCAAGTTAAAGTTCTCTAATCCATTCTATCAAAAAATGACAGAAGTATTCCAATGTCAAAATTCAGTATCCCGATTCTCAGCTGTGTGAAGCCTCTCCACAGAAATGGAAAGAATCCTCTCCATTCAGAAACAGCCATTTCTGAACACTGTAAAAACCAATTGATACAACTCCAACGTTACCCACCCCACTTGGTCTAATGTGTGTAAAAAGGAAAACAGCCATCTTAAAATCTCAGTGGTTTCTGTCAGCTGTAGGTATTCCTGAGGACTGTGTGTGCCCAGGTTTCTCTGAATTAAAGCAGGAAACACGGGTGCCACGCTCTTGCCCAGGATTACTGAGTGCTGCATCACAACCCCCTGCTTGATTTACCCTGAATGGGCACCAGTCACAGCCGAATTTCAGGACTGTGTGCTTGATAAATCATGACTAACACTACATTGTATTGCAGTAACCAACTGTTTATTTCACAGCTGCCAGCGTTATGCAACTCTTTAGAAATACTCAGAAAACCAGATGTGTGGAACACAAACCCCATGGCTGCCGCGTCCCCCTCTACATCAAGCTCCTCGCAGCAATGGCTCATCTCAGGTCTCATTGGGAACATCTGCCAAGGCCACTGGCGATGACAGGAGCGTTTCTGCTCACCTTCTGATGAGGGAGGTGGATTTAAGTACCCTATCTATTGGAGAAATGCTTGAACACAGTCCCATCACACATTCCCACTTGATGCCTTTCAGTATTTAAACAGCTTAAGAGTGTAAGGAATGAACATTTCCAAGCTGTAGGTAGTTTATAATAATTTCTATTCAATAGAAAAGATTGTTTCCTCTTCTGTTCTTTGTTTTCCTTAAAAGTGAAGAAAAGTGAGAAAAATCCATGTCCCACCACAATATGTACTTACTGATTAATATATGATTTACAAACCTGATTTTAATTTGTCAACATTTTAATTTTTTTAAAATGTATTCCTTTCTTTTCTATGCTATTTCTGTGCATTCATAAAAGCCCAATACCTTATACCTACGACTACTCCTAAATCTGCTGAAGCTCAGAATCCTAAACAAGGATTGGGCAGAGCTTTACCTGGACAGGAACAGAACATCCAGCCTTTGTGCACGTGCATTAGTGTTACAAAATGTGCGTTAAAAAGCCAGTGCCACGAGTGTAAGAGCACGTGTGCAGAGCTACAGATACTGGCATCCTTTCTGCTCACACAGGGCACCAGGGCACAACCCCCAGGCAGGAGGTCCCTGGTTGTTGATCGTGGTGGTCTAGGAAATACAGTAGCCTGCAGCTTTATGTTTTCAGTTTTCAGTTGTCCTCAGAGATAAAAAAACCCCAACTCTTTCCTCACTACCTATCATTTAGGCTCAAATTCCTGTGCGTTTTAGGAAGTTGTAAGCAGATCCAAGTTCAAACTGGGCTCAAGTATGGGCTGAACAGAACAAAGACCATTAGAGGAGGAAGCAGTCCCTGAAGCCTGTGTTTTCAGCAGCCGGTGGGTTTGGGTGGGGTGGGTGCCCCAGAGTGTTAACACCAGCTGGATAGCACAGAAGGGCTGGTGTGAAACCAAGCCACACGTGCAGCAGCAGCACCGTGGGCTTGGCACAGCGGGTGCACACCCAGCTACGAGCATGTCCAGCCTTTGCACAAACACCAGAGAATGTTAGAGAGGGCAGAGGGGGAACCCAAGGTGCTCTCCTGTCATTTCCACCCCAGGCCGTGGCTGGGCTCGCACGCTGGGACATTTGCTGGGGCTACAGCGGCATGGCTGCTGCCGTTTGGAAGATTTTCACAGCAGCATTTCGAGGAGACTGTGAGGTAAGCCAGCGCTGTGAGGTAAGCCAATGCTTTAAGGAAGCGCAAAGCCACGATTTCAGCCTCGTTTGGGATTTTGCCTGGCACCGTGCAAACACACCGCCAACAAACGGTAAATATTAGAAGCGTGTAAAATGCTGGAAAAGGGATGGCGAGGGTTGGAGTCCTCGACCAAGGCTCCCTGCCCACACCGTACCCCCTCAGGCGCTGGGCCCTGAGGGGCACTGGGCCCGCCGCGGCAGCCATTTTCCCCCGGGCCCGGGCCCCGGCCTGGGCCGCAGGCCGGCTGGAGGAAACCCTCTGCGGGGCGGGGACCTGCTCCTCCTGCGGGCAGCGCGGCGGCCGGCCCTCACCTCACCTCACGGGCTTCAGCCCCGCCGGCGGCGGCTGAGGCGGGGGGGAGCCCGAGGCGGGGGAAGCCCGAGGCGGGGCAACGCCTCACCCCGCTCGGGGCAGGCCCCAACGCCAAGATGGCACAACCGCCCTTGTGACGGCGTAACCAATCTTGCGGCGGTGCCCGCCCCCCGTGGAACGCCGCGCTTGACGGACGGGGCGGTGGGCCAATCAGAGGCGCGGAAGCCGTTCAAACCGGCGGTGCCGGGGTAACAGCAGCCAGTCGGGCGTTGGGGGCGGACGTTGAGCGGCAGCACGTTCCCTGGCGTCTCCGACGGGCTTTTACTGCGCTTGGGGCGGCGCCGGAGCTCAGTGTGTTTGGAGCCGGAGGACGGGCGGGCCGGGCCCGCGAGCATGGGGGTGAGGTAGAGCCGGCCCGACTGCGGAGGAGAGGCGAGCGCGGCTGTCTGGCGGGGCTGGGCCTGCGCGGCGGCGGCGGCGAGGAGGAGAAGGGCCGCGGAGCCGAGCGGAGGATGGAGGACAAGAAGGAGGAGGGCGAGGCGGAGATCCAGGAGCACGGGCCCGAGCACTGGTTCAGCAAGTGGGAGCGGCAGTGCCTGGCTGAGGCCGAGCAGGAGGAGGCGCTGGCCCCGGAGCTGCAGGACGAGGCGGCGGCGCAGCCGGAGCACAAGCAGCAGAAGCTCTGGCACCTCTTTCAGAACTCGGCCACCGCCGTGGCGCAGCTCTACAAGGGTGAGCGGGGTGGGGGAAGGGGGTACGGCTGGGGCGGGACGGGGCGCGGTGGGCTCGGGGCCGAGGCCGGGCCCGGGGATCCGGCGGCGGGGTCGGTATGGAGGGGGGGGAGCGGTGCCGCGGCGTCACAAAGGGGATGTGGCGGCGAGAGCGGCCTGGGCAGGGGGAGGAGCGGGCTTCCGGCCCGGGGG